GCGTGTGCTCACCGGCATTAGAAGAAGATCGGCGGCGTCGTGCGGCCAGGGAAGATGCATGTCCATGGAACGGCCACGGTGGCACGGTAGCAACGTTGGCTCCAGATACGTGGGGCGGCAACAATTCTCCGGTGGTGGCGTCGATCGATCGGCAGGGCTCGGAGAAACGCAGAAGATAGATGGAACAAGAGTGTTGCGTGGGGCACTTACCGATGGCCGAGAAGCAGCGAGGATGACCGGGCTGGGCAGCGCGACGGCGACGGCAAGAAGGAAAAAATATAATTTACTATACGAGGTATTTCCTAAACTAGGGGCTCCCTGTATGATAGTTTTGGTGTGCTTTGCCTAAGGGGTTGGTAGATATATATAGGGAGAAAAACTCCCCACATCCCCGTCAACTAGCGATATGGTACTAATTGATGTTGCATCATCCGTCTGCACTAATGGGCCTAAATAAACATTAAAGCCCATTAGTAAATAAATGCATGGGCCTTTAAGATTTACTATGATTATTGCACATGGGCTTTAAGTGTTGGGAAAAATGAGAGATTTATTATTTTCGGAATTAATTAATTTCATGGATAAAATAATTCTAGAAAAGTCCAGAATTGATATTTAAGCTACGAAAAATACTCCGAGACCTCCGAAAATTTGGGAAAAATTCTTAGAGATAATTTGGAACATGATAAACCCAAATAAATTATTTGGAGCTCATAAAAATTATTGTTGGGAACTTGGAACATAAAGATTAAGGTGAAGGAGGTAGGAATTAAATTTCAGAAAGAAGCTGAAAAATTCCTAGAGATAGATATGTCTCCTAAACGTATAAAAAACACACATTTTGCACATAGAAACACGAGGTGCGACCGGCATGAATGCAACAAACACGTTTCTACCTTATCATAAATTTTAAATTAATGAAATTTTTATTTTCCTATATTTTATGAGCACCAAAATTTAGAAATAAATCATTTTATCCTATTTTTCAAAAGAAGCAAATTTTAGGGTGTTACAGAGGTGAACAAAAGCCCAAATGAATTATTGAGAGTTCGTCCCCCCCCCCGAAAGAGAGGCCTGGCCGCCCTTATATAAAGTTAAGGGGCCAGGTTACATGTAGAGAGATGGGTTCTCCCGGCCCAAGTGGTCGAGAGCCCAAGGGAGGGAGAAGCGAATAAACTTGGCTGACAATCCATCATGTCTTGTCTTGGCGTCATCATACGTACAAGCATGGTCATCGTCGTGATCGTCGTGGTCTTGTTCCCACATGGTGGAGCGACATGTCATGATGCTATAGTGCCGGTCATGACGACACTGTTGGCACGGCGGTGGTTCGCCAACTATGCTACACGACATGGTCTTGTCGTGGTCTTCGTCATCATTTCCTATTCTCCCGATGGCGTCGTGGCGACAGTGAGGGAGCAGGTGGCTGCTCTTGGGTCGTTGGTCGCCTTTCCTAGTCGTGGTGCCACGGGCCTCAACCCTGGGTGGCCAGGTCAAGGCCCTCGGTGGTCTTGTTGGTCTTGTGAAGTCAAAGCTAGAGTCGTGCGCCCTATCCCGTAGCGGGTGGGGCTGTACACCCATTTTGTCGGGCTAACTTTAGTCGGTGCTACGCCGTACCAGTTGTCATCGCGCCCACGGTGTTGTCTTGTCTGCGTAGGGGCATGCAGGGATGACGTCTGCCCCGAGATCTCACGTCCTAAGAGATGGTCGTCCCCTCAGTCCTAGTGGTGTGAGTGGAGCGTGCCTGTCCCTATGGAGCCCGTCCCATCCTCGTCAATCCTCAGGGGTCAAGATGAGGAAGAGGTCGAGCGCGACTGTGTAACGTGCAGTGGAAGGAGAAGGGAGAGGTCATGGTGGACCACTTGTCTTGGTGTCTGGCCTAGGGCCTACATGGCTTAGGTGGGTCGTAGATACTATGCCTTAGCTAGTTGGGCGGCCCAAGTGGCCAACTATTCAGTGCCTTGAGATACCCGGGGTACCTTGACCCTGATACCTCTGAACCCCCGTTCCTCTACCCCCATCCTCTTCTTCGTCTATGGCGCCTTTGAGTGGCTGGTGGGACGAATTTGGGCTCTTCGAGCGTGGATCTGCCCTCCTCGCCACCGGATCCGCCCGGTGCGGTGACGGTGGTCACCCCCTAGTACACCCTTCCTATCTAGTGCCGACTTTTCTCCCAGTGTGGGCTCGGGAGCCCCCCTCCGCCTCATTGATCCCCTTGTGCGTGCGGGGGCTCCTCGGCTAGAGCCCCATCCAGATCTGCGCGGGGCGCAAGTCGGCACTGAGTTGGGCGGCGTTGTCACCCTCCTCGTCATCGTGGGGCTCGCGGGTCTTGCCTTCGCGCGCTAGCTCCCTCGACCAAGTGCTCGTTGTCGCGGGTGCTCGCATCCTGGCAATGTTGTGGCGGCCGACGCCCCCATAGTCCTAGCACGGACGCTTGCCTGTGCGTGCCTCCCATTATCGCGGGCGAGTCCGGGCAGCTAGCTGGCCTCACGAATTCGAGCTCCCAGGGCCTAGATCTGTTGCTCCCATCAACGACTCCGCGCGGTGTGGTGCCGGCTAGCACCCCCTCAAGTCCAGGCACGGATGCTTGTTGGTGCGCACCTCCCACCTTCACGGGCAAGTCCGAAGCAGCCGGCTTCGCGGATTTGGGCTCCTAGGGATTGAATCTACCTCCCCCATCAATGGCTTTGCGCAATGTGGTGGCGGTCGGCACACCCTTCGTCCAGGCACAGGCGCTTGTCGGTGCGCGCCTCCCACCATCGCGAGCGAGTCTGGGCATCTGGCTTTGCGGATTCAGGCTCTCTAAGACCAGATTTGCCGCCCTTGTCAATGGCTCCGAGCGGTGTGGCAGAGGCCGGCACCCCCCTCCATCCAGCGTGGATGATTGCCGGTGCGCGCCTCCCACTATCGCGGGAGAGTCACAGCGGTTGGCTTCGTGGATTAGGGCTCCCTAGGCCTAGATCTGTCATCCCCGTCAGTGGCTTCTCGCGGTGTGGCGGCGGCTAGCACTCCCCTTTGTCTAGGTGCGGACGCTTGCCGGTGCACGCCTCCCACCATCATAGGCGTGTCATCGGGAGCAATGGCAAAGGCTTTTGGGTGAAAAACTCAGCTCAGATCAGTCTAGGCTAGCAACGAGGATTTCTTTCTTCATGGCGTCAGTGAAAATCTCTTGTTGTTGCATCTCCTTCATCGGCTCGATCAATGCAACTACCCCTCGGTACAAGGCTCGAGCGAAAGCCTTGGCAAGCTCCTGCTTGGCCAAAGATGATTACGTTCTTGCGTCATTGACCTCTCTGGAGGCATCGTTGAAGAGCTCATATGCCTTGATGTGGTAGTCTTCGTATTTCGATAGTGTATTTATGGTTTTATCACTTTTTGGCCTGGTGGTGCTTGGCGTCTTGTTGCTGTTGTTGTTGTTTTTCCTCCTCAAATTTTATAAAACATAAAACAAACCGTTTTTGGGCTATATATATATGACTATTGAGGTGGAGGAATAATCCCCGGGTTGACATTAAAAAATAAATCCGGTCAAACATAAAAGAGTTTAACTTAATACAAGTCTAAAAATTTAATTTATTCAGGGAGCGAGGGCTGAATAATTTCCTGCCGTCTCTTGTTCACTTTACATTAACTCTCGTGTTCTTAGTTTAAGGCCCCGTTTGGCAGGGCTTCTCCAGCGGCTTCAGGAGCCGTTTGGAGCCGTTTTCTGCCAAACGGGGTAAAATGAAACGGCTCCACCGATGAAGCCCCTAAAAACGTGCTCTCACAGAGCTTTGGGGTGGGAAGGAGCCAAAAATAGTGGCTTCTCCCGGCTCCTCCTCCAGGCCCCTAAAAACATGCTCTCACAGGGAAGCCATTTTGCCAAACGGTTTACCAAAACCGCTTCAGCTCCACCGGTGGAGCTGTTCGTGGAGCTGAAGCAAAAAAAAATGGCTTCACTAGTGAAGTGAAGCCCTGCCAAACGGGGCCTAAATAGTCGCCTGACGCAGACACGCGAACAAATCGGCAGGACTTGGACAGGGGGATCGAACGTGCACATATATATAGCCCCCGAGTTCCACGAGGGACAACTAGCTAGAGCACGTTGTGTAGGCGAATCAGCTGGAGCGTAGCTTGGAATGTTTGTTGATGAGATGAGCGCGAAAATATGAGCGGCGTATATAGCATTCCAAGATCCGTGAGAAACGTGTGGACGGTGGGTGTATACCACACAGTCTTCGTTCGAGTCCTCTCGAAGCAAGCACACAGACACGGGGCGTTGTCTGTTCCCAAAATTTGGTCGTGCAGAGGCAGACAGCAGCACTTTTGGAAGCAGATAATAATGGTTGCTGAGTTTAATCATGAATTTATCGCCAACATCATCCATCCGGTGGACGAGATTATCATCATCTGATCCACGCGCGCGCTAATGGGATGTGTAATGTGTTGTGTTGATCAATCTGCCAGCCATCGTGTGCGTGTGGGCGGGCGTGTGGCCCACCACGCAAACGGTTCCCAACCACGCCATGGAGGTGGAGAGCGCGTGAGACGGTGAGAGGGAGAGACGAAAGAGAATGCTCCGCCTCCGCCACGGCGTATCCGTATGTACCACGCGATGCTTCAAATCCGACGATTCCTTCCTTCCGTGGCCCTGCTCCTTCCTTCCATTTCCACCACCACCCACATGCAAAACGGCAAAACTACACCGGCCTACGCGTCCCGTTCCGGTTCCGCCAATCCCTCTCTCTCGCTTGCTTGCTCGCGCGCACGGCGCACCGTGCACCATATTATCCATCAAGCCCCTCCTCCAGCCTCCAGCCTCGAGCCTCAAGCCTCTGCTCAGTGCCGTCTATATATCCGCTCTTCGGCTGACGCCGCGTTCCTCTCCGAGAACAAGAGCCAGCCAGCTACATTAGGTACGGAGCGGTGCGGTCATCAACTGGCCTGGCGGCCTTCTGAAATTCTGAGCGCTGGCCTCGAGATTCCAGTCGCCAGAGCGCGACAGGGGCGGCGGCGGCGACATGAGGCTGCTCAGGATCGTCGGCAAGAGTGCCTCTTCCCACACCAAGGCGGAGGCGGGGGCGGCGGCTCCTTTGCCGGACGACACGGATGGTGCCGGGGCGGTGGTAACCGTCGTCGCAGCAGGCGCAGATCGCAACAACGGCACGGTTAATGGTACGCGTGTGTCTGTCTGTTATCAGTAATCGCATCTACTTTTGCTACAATCTTCATCGCTGATTAATGAAGCGATTTGCGTCCACAATGCCACAGTTTTTATGATTGTCTGTCACTGTATACATTTCATTCCCTCTTTTGTTTATAAAAAAAAATCAATTTGATTACCCTGTTTACAGAAACACACATAATTACACTAGTGGGTGGGGGTTGTTATGGATCGATGCAAAAAAAGAAGAAGAAGCGATGAATCAAATTAACTATGTTATCTTGGCACCTGGACACGCGCAAGACTCCAGCGTGTTAGTTAGCCCGGCATGTTTCGCAGCAGCATAATACAAGCTGTCGAGTCTGTTTGGTAGGATGATTGTTCATCCGGTGAGTGGTGGTTAGGATGGACGATCATATCACCAAGAACAAGACAGTTAGCTCATGTGTTAGGTCACCTGATTGTTTGTCGACGAGCCTAAGATAAGAAGGTAAAGGAATTGAACGCACGGGCGTCCTGTGCCTTGTGCCTAAGAAAAAGGTGAAGGCACGCACGTCCGATGGGAAATCGTTAATGCCGATGAATTTGACAGATGGGAGAAGAGTTTTTGCACTATCTGAGTGAATGCTGTCCTGTGGCCTATTCTATTTCATTGACTTCTTTCTATATGGGGCGGGCGAGGTTGTACTACCTTCTCTGTTTGTCAAACTTGAGGACGAACAGCTTTATTTCTTCCAACGAATGCGTCGTATGGCGCTTAAATGTGATCTGTCCTGAATATTATGACCAATTAATGGACAAAATAAAAAACTAATATCCAAATATACTTTTCGGAAGGACGGGCTTGGTGCAAGCGGTAGAGTCTTACTGCCAGTGACCGGAAGGTCCCGGGTTCGAGTCGCGGTCTCCTCGCATTGCACAGGCGAGGGTAAGGCTTGCCACTAACACCGTTTCCCAGACCCCGCACAGAGCAAGAGCTTTCTGCACTGGGTACGCCCTTTTATCCAAATATACTTTTCGATTCTACAAGTCAATGGCTCAAATCTTCTTTCCCTGACAATAAAAAACAGACCTTGTAATAGCACTTCCTAGACATTGGAAATTCAATACTAATATCTGCACACATTCTTTATACACAACAAAAAAAGTCAAGCTTTTCACCTTTTCTGACAATAATAGTTAAAAGTAGCAACTCTCTATCCTTGGGCATTTTCTTTCTAGTTTCATTGTTACCACAACAGTTTGTCAGTTTCTTGTATTTCCAACGCACTTGCTGCTTTACCTTGTACTAATAAGTGAAGCTGTAGCTGCAAAAGACATGACTGTAAGTTTTAACTGCAACACCACTTCGGCACTTGCCTTTGTTTGATACATCAACGTAGGATAGGAGACAAAACGCACTTAATCTTGTTCTGTTAACATAGTAACATGCGTCTCTCCATGTGGCCAGGAAGCAAAGATGAGTTGTTCTTCGAAGCAAGGCCCTGGTTAGATTCCGACAGCGAAGACGATTTCTACAGTGTGAGAGGAGGTAAAACTGAACTAGACTCACACATGTGCTGGAGCACTGGAACTCAAATTTTCTCATTCTTTTGACATGTTTCTTCATATTGCCTGAAGATTTCACGCCATCAAGAGGCGGCACACCAGATCATCCGAGATTAACACCCTCAGGTGGGCGGATGCCGGTAGACAGATCGGGTCCTTCTCTGATTCAAAAGAAGCAGAGACTTCTCGAGCTTCTTCAGGAGAAGCAACATTATGACGACGAGGATGACAGTGTCACCGATGTTAGTAGCGATTTGGAAAGTAGCGCGGTTCATGCTGAAGAACACTTGAAGACTTCTCGCAGAACTGAGAAATCAAAGAAGTCATCAAGGTCAGGCTGTTTCCCAACCTTAGTCTGGAAGCGTAGCTTCACAAGCTGCAGGAAGAAGAAAAAGGAAAAGGAGCAGAAGGATAAAGTGAACTAGCATTATGATGTAAAAAGAAAGGGAGAAAAGTTTCTAATTGGCCACGAAGGTGCGTGTACATATATGTCTTTTCATTTCTGAAATGCTGAAACCAGGATGGAAGGACGTTTTGAGTGGTGTACTGTTCTAAAAAAAGTTTAAAGGAAAGATAATGTAGTGTAAAAATATACAGGACTGGTTTGTCCTTTCCAAATTGCTGATTTCTGTCTAGACTTGATCTCACTGTGTTTGCTGGACTGTCAACATTCTTACTGTTGCGATGTCCAATGACTTGGGACAGATGAAAACTTCGTCGGTGCCCCTTTGATTGTGCATATCCGTAATCGGATGTATCATTCAAATTATGCTGCTATCAAGGAATCACAGTTTGGCATACCTCTGGAACACAGGCTGACAGACATTACTTTACAAAATAACAAATGGATCAAAGGACAACCTTTTGCCAAAGTGCAACACTGCAACCTTTTCCTTTGGCAATAGCTCGTAAAGCATTGAATTTCCACTGGATTCTAAATTTCTAATAAGAGACTCGTGGTTATAAAAAAAAATAAGGATCAGGAATTTAGAAGTGTTTGCACGGTTGCATTTAACGCCATCCTGCTGCAGATAAATGGACATTTTTGTTTTGTCAATCTGAGGACGGAGAACTTCATTTCTTAGAATGAAAATGAATGCATCTTATAGTGCAGGTGTTCTTTCTTCTCGGCTCAGGTTTTCCCAAATTGTTTCAATTTATTCTGTGCATAATTACCTTGTAAAGTCATCCTCTTTTAATATATGCCTGGTATAATCATGCCAACGATTTTTGACAAAAAAAAGTGCAGGTGTTCTGAATATTGGGAGCAATTAATTGACAAGATGCATACATTGGAAAAATCAATGTCGGAACACACTTTTCAGTTCTGGACAATGATAGAGATCTTTCTTTGCAGAGAAAACTTTTTAATTCTAGGCATTGTACATTAATAATCTGTGCATAAGATTTCCATAAAAAAATAAAGTTAAATCATGCTTTTCACTTTTTGTGGCGAAGTGAAACACACCATATTGAAAGCAACTAGTTCTTTGTGGGCATTCATGATTTTTGTAGCATGAGAAGAGCTAAATACTGAACTGCACATATACATGAAGTGAAACCTAAGTTGAATTTTGCATTCTTGATTCTGATATTTTACTCCATCAAGAGACTGTACATGGTTAAGTGGGTAGATACCGGTAGACAGATCGAAGCCTTCTCTTATACTAGTATATAAACAACACGCAGATACTGCTTGAGCTTCTTCTGGAGAAGAGAAAACCTGTTCATGCTGAGGAACACATGAAGTCTTCTTTCAAAGCCATGAAACTGAACAAGTCATCTTCAGGCTATCTCCCAAGCTTAATCCTGGAGCAGCTTCAAGGGTTGCACAAAAGAGCAGACACTAGTATTGCCATGTCGAATTATGATTTCGTGAAAAGGAAAAACACAAGTTCCTAAGATAGATATCAGGTAGACCGCCAAACTCATGCGTGAGTACATATGTATTCCTGTTCTTTTCTTGAATGCTAAAAGTAGGACAAACAACAGTGGCATATTTCTGTAGAAAAAGTTAAGAAAAGATGGATATCAGGTAGACCGCCAAATCTTGATCTGGCTGTGTTTGCTGGACTGTCAACATACTTAATGCTGCAATGTCGAATTGCTTACCTAGAACAAACTTTCTTTGGTCATCCTCTGATCTCATATATCAGTAATTGGACTGAAATAAGTTGCATTTGAAAATTTTAATATACTTTTAATTAGTAAAGATTTAATGTCATGACAGAAGCCAAGTCCCTTATATGAGTTCCTTTGTCAGACGATGGAATGACGATGTTTAAATAAGTTGCTTGAACTTTACTCTTAACAAGCACCAAAGAGGTAAAGCAGAAGGGTTTGAATACTAAGAAAAATCCGAAGGATAATCGAAACATGTACTGCATATTTTATTTTTGGTTGTACTGCATATTTAAACAAGTGCATTTTGCAATAAGATTTTTTTTGAACCGGAAATACAGCAGGGGAGGCCACCACTGTAGAATTAATTAAAACCAAAACAAACCACTGTACAGAAGGGAAAAAAACTGTACAACAAAGAGAGGAGGAAGAGAAGAGGCCCGAGCAGGGCCAACGAGTAAACTAGCCAAAGAGGTCTAAGAGGTGAAGAAAAACTGGTCGCTCAAAAATACAAATTCTATGGGCTTGGAGCCTGGCTTCATTTAAGAAATCTTGCCTCCAATGCAAGTGCCTCAATAAGAAAATATAACAAATGGTTAGATAGATTATTGAAGGATTGACTATGCAAGTGTCCCTCAAATTGTGAATTGCGCATTTTTCATCATAGCAGTCAGAACTGAGAATAGGCGGAAAATAAGGCATAAAAGGTTTTAAAAAATCATCAAATAATATGAAGGATCGAAATGGTGGCCAGGGGTGTGAATAAGAGCCAATAAAAATTCTTTGTGAGAACTTAGACTATATCCCAATTTCAAGTAAACTCACTTTTGTTCTAGCTGTCGAGGTCATACAAGCCAACTTGTGACATGATGAATTGATGACCCTCAAAACAATAAGGACTTACTCAAACGATAATGATACGATGCGGGCGTCCGTCCGTTCGTCCACACACCACGCTCCCGCACTCCGCCTGATCCAACGCCGCTCGTCAGTCCGCTTCTTAAAAAAAGGACAGCGCTGCTCCCTTTTCCAGCACGAGGCCCACTCCGCTCTCTCTCTCCCCACTCCATGTTGCACGGCGTGGCCGCTTGCACCACTTTGCTGCGCCGCCACTGCCATCCCCCGTGGCGCCCCCCATCCCCACCTCCGTCCACTGCTGCGCGTGCCGTGCTCCACCCTCCGCCACGCCCAGACCAGGCGTCCATGAGAGGGGGCCGTCGCTGGCCGAGCCCAGGCCAAGCGCAGCAGGCCGCGCCACCATCCTCGGCCGCCAGCTAGCCGGAACCGGCCGTCCCCCCACTCTGCGCTACATCGTATGGAAGAAGGGTGAACAACGCATGATGCAAGCCTATGTTTTAAGTGTTTCAGATATTTTATAGGTATGCTGTAATTGTTTCATGTGAATGTTGCAAAAGTAGATTGGGATGTTGTATATGTTGCAAGTGTTTTAGATGCATGTTGCAAGCGTTTCTTTAAAATGTTTCATCTTTCAGACGTATGTGTGCAAGCGTTTTTTATTTGGATGTTGCATATGTTTCACACATGTTGCAAGAGTATGTTCCAATGATTTCAACTGTTTTAGTCTTATGTTGCAGTAAGTGTTTTCATGTTGCAAATTGCAAGTGTTTTATCTGGATGTTGCATATGTTTCACACATATGTTTCAAGTGTATATTCCAAATGTTTCATCTACTTCAGACGTATGTTGCATTCAAGTGTTTCATCTTTTAGAGTTGTGTTCAGAGAGTCATGGGGGCACGGCCCAAGCGCCGGGGGATGGGGCGTGGCAAGCCAGGTGCCAGCGGATGGGGCGTGCTGGGGCCCAGCGGTCGGGGTGCGTGGTGCGCCTGGGTCCTGCTAGCGGGGACGTGCTCGTCCTCATCCCGCGGCTCCCGGATCTCGCCCGCACAGAGAGAGGGGAGCGGTGTCATTGGGAAGGAGCCGCGGGCGCAGCGACAAGGTCAGGGTGCGCGTGCGGGCCGTTGCGAGGTGGACGAGGGCGGGCTACGCGGGTGTCCGGACGTCCGGGCGCTAGCCAATCCCTTACTCAAAACAATGTGGAAGCAGAAAGAATGAAGTCTAAGGGTAAAAGCAGTCCAAAGAAATTTGGTGCACTACTTCTATGTACTGTTCTAATCAGACCCAAAACTAAACAAGAAATGAACAGCCTTAAAAAAATTAGGAAGCACCAAAAACAAACTATCCGAACTAAACTGAGACAAGTTAAAACGAACTGACTGAAAAGCAGAGTTTGCAGTAACTGAATAACTACTGAACCTAGTGCAGCAAGCTACAAGTCTATAGATTTAAAGAGCGAGCAATGGTTTCATGAATGATTGACTAGTGTAGCTTGATAGGGTGTGTTTGGTTTGCTAGTCTGGTCAGCTTTAGCCTGCTCCCACCAAACCGAGCCCTAATTGTTTGGTTGTTAGTGTTTTTTAAGCCTGGCTAGCAAATGATGTATTTGCTTTGCATAGAGTGGCCGGGTAAGTTTACCTCCTTTGAGGGATTTTATCGAACAGATGGTGGGTGCGGAGGAGGAGAGCACCTAGCCGGCGAGCTCCTGAGCGAGCACCTGGGCAAGCACGTCGGCGAGCACCTGGGCGGGCAGGGGCGGACGCCATTGACGACGACGACGACGGAGAGCACGGAGGAGCTCCGGCGCCAGGAGCTGCGGCGGGAACAGAGGAGCCACCGACGCCGCCCCGAAATGTTGGTGCGGCTGCTCGCTGCTGGGAGCACGCCCGTGAGCATCGCGGGGTGCGCCACGCAGACGTCGGTGGCGTGCTGCATGCGGCACCACAGCGGGTCCCCGACGCTGCGACTGACGAGGAACAGCTGCACGAGCACCTGCGGCCTCACGACCGCGCCCGCCGCTCGTTTCGCTTTCGCCGTGGGCGTCGTGCTCGTGCTGTGCTGCTGGACGAGTCTCTCGTGGAGCGCCCTGCCGCGAGCCGGGTACATCTTGCATACGACCATGTCGAACGCCGCCCCGGTGCCGGAGTCGCCGCCGCGGTCGCCGTACTTGTCCATGCGCCACTCGGTCTCCCAGGAGGCGCTGCCCCCGCCGCGTCCTCGTGGTAGCCGAAGGAGTGGCAGTACCACGCTGGATCTGAGCGAGGAGGGCGTGAATCTGGGCAGTGCGGTGGCAATGGCGAGGAGATCTCGTGATGAGCGGGATGGAAGACGATGACCGTTCGGAGCGGAGGAAGACGGCGCTGGGCGTTGCGGTGTGGAACTGTGACGCGACGCGAGGCTCCAGAAAAAGCTGGTACGGCCCCTTGCGTTCTTTCGGGGTCAGGCTA